TGTCTGAAGAAGCTGAAGAAGCTTCTTGGGATGAGAAGTGAAATGTCTTAAAAGAAAAACCAGAAAGTCCAGTTGCCTCTTCCAGATTGCCTCTTGAAAAAGCACCTTTGGGATGGCCAGCCTTGAAATGTTAGGAAAACTCCCTTAGGTAAAGATTCCCCTCGCACATATGTGCTAGTTGTTCCTGACTCTAGGGGGCAGTGCTCATCTCCATTTCAAAGCTGAAGAGCCAGCACCCTCCATGGTTATGTGGCTGGCATGACTAAATGCCAAAGGTAACGCTGTTACCTTCCCACCAAAGGTGGTCCCTATTTTTCTACTTGTATCTTTTACTGCTCGGTTGGCAGAAGCTCGGTTGACAAGTAACGGGAGCTCATCCCATTACGAGACACTAGGGATTCAAACCGTTGAACTGCCGACCTTTCGATCGACAAGCTCAGCATCTTAGCCACTGAACCACCGCGTCCCTTACAAACCCCTAAAAGAAGATTCCCAAACTATTTCTAACATGACAAAGTGCAAATGCTTTCATGCTAGAGGTTTCCAACCAGGGAGCCCATCAGTTTAATACTTCAATTTTCCCAACCTTCAAATCTATAGCATTCGGAGAGATGCTCTGATTTAGAGACTTCTGAGAAGGCACAAACTTATCCACAGTCCAGTTAAGTTCAATGTTAACAGGAAAGAAAGGCATTTCAGGGATCATTTGAGAAATCAGGGCTCCTATCTGTCAAATGATAGGATGCTAAGGGGTAAAAAAAAGCTTTGGTCTGGTTGGGGTCATTTTTCTAATCCAATCCATTGTGACCGTAATAAAACCCGGAGTTTGTTGTTGAAATGAGCATCTACAAGATGCTTCCTTTAATCTGGCAACCTCCAGCCCACCAAAATGCCCACCATTTTGCAACTAGTTACACAGATTACACAGCCCACCAAAATGCAACTAGTTTTGGTCAGGATGGATAAAAATCAATGATTTTTTTTAAAAAATAAAAAAAAATCAGATTTTTTTAATTTAAATCGGATTTTTTTGATTTTTATCGAATTTATTTTAATAAAAAACTTTTGGGGTAAAAATCTATCATAAGATCGTTTTCTGTTTAAGATACATAAATAATTTAGTTTATTCAGCATGAAATGGAGCTTAGCTATGTAGCATGAGGCTGTATATTCTGCAACACTGGGACTATCGGTGAGTCAACAGTGGGTCAAAGGAGTAGCAGAGGTGACAGTTGCTCTTTAAAAATTATGATTTAAATCGAGTTGATTTAAATCAAGCCTTTTTACTAGTGATTTAAATCATGATTTAAATTGCGATTTAAATCAACTTGATTTAAATCAAATCCACCCTGGTTTTGGTCAATGCTTCTGTTAGTTGGGGGACCTCCATGCTGGCTAGAAAAAAAAGCATCTGGAAGTTACAGGTCAGGCAGGACGACCTTCATAAAGAGGAATTGAAATAAGGACTGGTTTGGATTATTTGTCGCTCACATAACACTATCCTAACTGTGAACAGAGTGTGCTAAGGGCCAGACTAAACTAATTGACTGAACTAATTGACTCTGGAGGTAGACGTGAAGTAATTGGTCATCTTCTCTTATTTATCTCCACTAGCTAGCAACCTCGGTTGGAGTGCTCCTGAAGCTTGAAGAGCTCTTCAACCATCATTGTTGACAGTCATTTTTTCAGTCTGTCTCTCTTCTATGAACTTTTTTTTTTTTTGGTCCCTGGCAGCCTAGAGGGGTCAGTCTGGGAGGAGGATGTGAAAAGAAATAGTAATTGTGAACGTTCTAAAGAGGATAGATCTTCTCTCTTTTACCTGCAGGCTCAATTCACCCTAAAACGATGGCTTACCGTCAATCAGCAAGACACCTAATTGAAGGTAGCAAAGAAAGGTGACCTGCCTTTCAGCCGGGCTGGATTCAGGAATAAAGATTCAGTTGCACCAAACAGCATGTGGACACCATCCCATTGCAAGGGATGCTTTCTAAAACACCATCCAATGGATGCCACCATTGCTTTTCAACAGCCAAGGAAGAACAAGGATTTTCAGAAATTGTCCCAATCCTGAAAATCCATCTGAAGAAGATGGGAAGATGGATATCTCCCTGAAGGAAGACCTCCTGGAGAGAAGAGCTTCTGGAATAATAATAACAGTAACAGTCGGAAGGGACCTTGGAGGTCATCTAGTCCAACCCTCTGCTCATACAGGAGACCAATACTAGGGATTTGAACCGCCTGGGCAGACACCGGATCTCCTGTGTCACGATCCTAACAGTGGATAAAAACAGCGGGCAAACCGGCTGGAACCAAGACATCAAGGCTTTCAGAAAAACCTATATATTCCACCTTTGAGCGGCAGCAATCTGTATTTTTAGGGAGGGGGGCCGCGGGGGAGAAGAGAGAGAACAAGGGCAACTCTTTTCCCACCCCCTCCACCTGAAACTTTCATCTTTTGAGAATTAAACATGATTCGCTGGCACTCTCTTCCAACTGTTGGAAGTGCACAGTGGCATCTCTGTAGCCACAAAAAGGGAGCGCACTCGATGCGAAGAACATGTTTCTACACTGCATTTGAGAAAGTTTGGCTCCGAGCTATGCACTGATTAATATCAGATCTCTTCCTTGACTCGCTCCTTGATCTTGTCACATCTGGCTGACAAATCCTTACAAGCTTTTCCAAAGCAGGGCAGCCCCGTCATGCTCGGGGAGTTGCTGGAAGGAAGTGACAAGACCAGCCGAGCGCTGATGTGCCATCGCTGAAACTAATGAAGTTGACTTTTGCTTCCAGGCTCCCGGAAAAGTTTTTTTTTTTTAAATAAAAAAATAAAAAAATAAAATAAAGGCAACACAACACGCCTCAAGGTTTTGCAACAGGGCAACAGCTCACCAGAAGATAAGACAAATGATCCACCTCCCAAAATTCACGCTGCCAAGCTATTGCATGATCTTTTAAAAAAGCGGGGGGAAAGCTTTCTAAACTCCTTACGGGGATAACCTGAAACAAAACAGCAACCCTGTATGCACAATTAAAATGAAAAGAGAAAAGAAATAGCGGAATTGTGCAAAAGAAATTCTATCTTCCTCCTTTGGAGAGGGTTGTTTCTTTTCTTTGCATTTTCTTCTTCTTTTCCTCTCTCTCTCTCTCTCTCTCTCTTTGTAAAAAGTTTTAGAGCGTAATGTTGGATGCTTTTAAAGATATTTTGTTTTCATTTTCTCCCCCACTGTTGAAATATTCTTTATAACCGCTCTTATGCCCACATGGACTAATCTCACTCCCCCTTCCCTCCGCAATGTATTTTTAATATCTCAAAAACAGAAGTTCCACCTTGGTTTACTTTTTTAGAAACATTTCCCCCCAATCCTCTACCTTCAGCACTTATCAAAACAGTGCAGACAAAAACATGCAGACACATGGTGCGCATGAATGTACATTATACATGCACCCACTCTAGTAAGAGCCTTGGTGGCGCAGCAGATTAAAGTACTGTTTAAAGTGCTGTTAAGTAACATCAGCTGCCTGCAATTACTGCAAGTTCAAATCTCACCAGGCTCAAGGTTGATTCAGCCTTCCATCCTTTCGAGGTAGGTAAAATGAGGACCCGGATTGTGGGGGCAATAAGCTGATTTTGTATAAAAAAGAACACCGCTGGGGGGGAGGGGGCAAAAGCCCTACTAAGCAGGTATATACAAAAGTATGAAGGCTATTGCTTAATGCATTATAAGCCTCCCTGAGTCTCCGGAGAAGGGTGGCATATAAATTGAACCAATAAATAAATAAATTTAAAAAGAGCCTTGATAGTACAGTGGTTTAGTGCACCCTGTTATTAACACAGCTGCCTGCAATTTCTGCTGGTTCGAATCTCTCCAAGGCTCAAGGTTGACTCAGCCTTCCATCCTTTCTAAGGTAGGTGAAATGAGGACCCAGTTTGTGGGGGCAATAAGCTGACTTTGTATAAAATATACAAAAGAATGAAGGCTATTGCTTAATGCATTGTAAGCTGCCCTGAGTCTCCGGAGAAGGGCGGCATATAAATCAAATAAATAAATAAATAAATAAATAAATAAATAAATAAATAAATAAATATCATGAATAAACAGGGAACATGCTTGGGACCATAGATCTGTTTTTTTTCTGAAGCATAGTAAATAAAACTTCTTTAAAAAACTATGTCTTAAACTTTTTTTAAAAAAAACTAGGTCAACAAAATAATATTCGGAATCCTATCTTTGTAAGAGGATAAAGGGCAGAATTCCCCATCTCATCCTCAAATTAATGTTGCCAAATCACTTTGGTCTGGTCTCCACATCATCACCACCACAACATCATCATCATCACACAACTGTATCATCACAACCGTCGTGTTATCTGCTTAGAGCACTGGACTCGGGACACGTGGGAGACTCAAATCATGCATTTCGCATCTATTAAATGCTCGTGCAAAACTTGGTCGGGAATTAAACGAGCTGCCAGCTCGTCGCAATTTACAGGTGGTTCTGCCTCTCCGGCAAAAAGGGACGGGGGGAAACTTTGAGCCAAACGGGGTTTTAATTCACCTGGAAGCAAAAAAACAAAAAAAAACAAAAACCCGAAGATGTGCCTCTTTTTTTGGAACCCACGCGTGCAAAAAAATCAAAAATCAAAATCAATTTCTTGCCCATCAGTGCCCTTGAAATAAATCGGATCTCTCCCCCCCCCCCCCCCGCAAGACTGAGAAGGCGGCTCCTTCCCCCCAACAAGTTATTCTACAAATAACCTGGCCCCCCCCCCCAATTCAGTCAACCGTTGCAATGCAAAGGACAAGAAGCTGCCTGAAATCTTGCTAGTCCGGGACACTCGAGCTATTGCAAGGAAGGCGAAGAAGGGGAGCAAGGAGGAAGGAGAGAAGGGGAGAATCTCCAAGAGGGATGGGGAGAGCGTCCCCTCCGAATCCTTGCAGGGGTGGTTTAAAAAAAGGAAAAAAAAAAAAACACACACACACACACAAAACTTTCCTTACCTCCGACATTCTTACACGGCATAGGTTGGAAAGAGCTATAGAAGTCTTTCCCATCCCTTCCGCTGCGAGTTGTAGAAAGAGTCACCAGGAAACATTCTTGTCTGTACAAGTAAAAGAGGCAGAGTCATCCTGAGCCTTTGGTCTCTCACCCTCGTCTGAAGCGCTGCACCTCCACGCCTGGGTAGGCTCAACGCAGGGGAGTGAAATCAGATCTCTCCCCCCCCACACACGCCCACTCCTGGCTCTGCTTCGAGGGAGCCCACAGTCTGAAGTTGGGACTGCTCGCTCCCTCTCTCTTCTTCTTCCTCTCTCTCTCTTCCCCCTCACTTTCTCTTTCTCTCTTTCTCTCCCTCCCTCTTCTCTTTCTTTCTCTCCCTTCCTCTCTCTTCTCTCTCTCCCTTCCTCTCCTCTCTCTTTCTGTCTCACTTTTCCCCCTCTTCCTCTTCCCTCTCTAGCTCTCTTCTTTCTCCTTCCCTCCCTCTCTTTCTCTTTCTCTCTCTCCCTCTTTCCCCCTTTCTCTTTCTCTTCCTTCCTTCCTCTAGCTCTTTTCCTTGTCTCTCTTCTCCCTCCCTCCTTCCCTCTTCTCCCTCACTTTCTCTTTCTCTCTCTCTCCCTTCCTCTCTCTCTTCTCTCCCGCCCGCCCTCCCTCTCTTTCTTTCTCTCCCTTCCTCTCTTCTTTCTCCCTTCCTCTCCTCTCTCTTTCTGTCTCTTTTTCCCCTCTTTCTCTTTCCTCTCTTTCTCTCTTCTCTCTCCTTCCTTCCCTCTCTTTCTCTCTTCTCTCTCTTTCCCCCTTTCTCTTTCTCTTCCTTCCTTCCTCTAGCTCTTTTCCTTGTCTCTCTTCTCCCTCCCTCCCTCCCCTCCCTCTCTCTCTTTCTTGCTCTCCCTTCCTCTCTCTCTCTTTTCTCTCTCTCCCTCCCTCTTCCTTTCTCTCCTCTCTCTTTCTGTCTCTCTTCTCTCTCTTCCCCCTCTTCCTCTCTCTAGCTCTCTTCTCTCTCCCTCCTTTCTCTCTTCTCTCTCTCTCTTTCTCTTCTCTCTCTTCCCCTCTTTCTTCCTTCCTTTCTTTTTCTTCCTTCCTTCCTCTCTCTCTTTCTCTTCTCTCTTTTCCCCTCACTCTAGCTCCCCATCCCTTTCTCTCTTCCCCTCTTTCTTTCTTTCTTTCTTTCTTTCTTCCTTTCTTTCCTTTCTTTCTTTTTCTTTCTTTCTTCCTCTGTCTCTGTCTCTCTTTCTCTCCTCTCTCTTCCCCCTCTTTCTCTTTTTCCCTCCCTCTAGCTGCCTCCCTCCCTCCCTCCCTTTCTCTCTTCCCCTTTCTCTTTTTCTTTCTTTCTTCCTCTCTCTGTCTCTCTTTCTCTTCTCTCTTCTCCCTCTTTCTCTTTTTCCCTCCCTCTAGCTGCCTCCCTCCCTCCCTTTCTCTCTTCCCCTTTCTCTTTCTTTCTTTCTTTCCTTCTTTCTTCCTCTCTCTCTCTCTCTTTCTCTTCTCTCTCTTCCCCCTTTCTCTTTCTCCCTCCCTCCCTTTCTCTCTTCTCCTCTTTCTCTTTTCTCTCTCTCTGTCTCTTCTCTCCAGGATGCTCAGTTGCAGCCCCTGCAGTCAGAAGGCAGACCCCTCACAGCTGGCTAGGAAAAGGGCACGACACTCATCTTTCACACAGGTTGGATCAAAAGGAGACCTGAGCACCCCCGAGCTCCAAATGCTGCTGCTGCGTGTGGAGAGAGAAACCCCACCGCTCCTCCAGACCACGAAGCCATTCGGTCAATGAAGCTAACCTAAGGCCCAAGCTAACTCCCCCCCCCACTCTTTTGGGGCGAGGGGAGGGACTTTGCAAGAATCCATAGATCTCTCTTCAAAGTTCTGCAGGAGGATGAGGAGGAAGATGATGATAAAATGATGACGATGAAGAGAATTCTGGTTTTTTTTCTGAGCAAGAAGCACATCCAGCTAAGCCAAATGTATCGGTAAGGAAAAGTGAAATAAAATGGAGAATATCAATACTCAAATAGCTCACACACATCCTGCTTTATTGTTGTGGTTTTGTTTTAAAGATCAGCAAGACGATTTAAAAGAAAAAAGGAGAGAAGGAATGCAAGGACGGCATCTGCACCAGAACTGACCCAGTTTGGGATGAAGGTTTACTGCACGCGTGTTAAAGTATGTATCAATTAAAAGGAAAAAAATATACACGAGTACCGTGTTTCCCTGAAAATAAGAGCCTGTCTTATATTTTTTTGAACCCTGAAATAAGCGCTTGGCCTTATTGCCATGCACTCAAAAGCCCGATTGGGCTTATTATCAGGGGAGGTCTTATTTTGGGGGAAACAGGGTAGGTAAACTCAGCTATGGTGCCCTAGACACAAATCTATCACATACAGGGTTAAAAAAATGATTTGCCAATGAAAGAGAGAGACGCAGTTTCATTATCCCAAGTGAAACCTGGATCCACTTAAGAACCTCCATTTAGGCCTATGACCTGTGATGGTTTTTCTGCATGAAAAGCATCAATTCTGTTTTTGTGCCGTGAGACTCAAAATGTTTTGGAAATAGAAAGAGGGATTGGTCACTCAGTGATCAATCCCAGGCTTTGTGGTCTAATATCCCGGGTTCAAATTTGTAGCCTCTCTAAATAAGGATTGGAAAAAGAAGCATTTACCAGCTAAAGTAGTCTTTTTATGTTTGTCTTCGAAGTCACTCCTAGTGACTGCATGAAGTAGTCCCTGCAGTTTTCTTGGCAAGCTATTTCAGGATGTGGTTTGCCGTTGCCTTCTTCCTAGGACGGAGAGCGTGGCTGGCCCAAGATCACCCAGCTGTCTTTGTACCTAAGAGCTGTTGGTGGCGCAGTGGCTAGAATGCAGCATTGCAGGCTAACTCTGCCGACTGCCAGCAGTTCGATCAAGGTTGACTCAGCCTTGCATCCTTCCGAGGTCTGTAAAACGAGGACCCAGATTGTTCGGGGGGGGGCAATATGCTGACTCTGTAAACCATTTAGAGAGGGCTGTAAATCACTGTGAAATGGTACATAAGTCTAGGTGCTATTGCTATACTTCCACCAGCTAAAGCAGGACTAGAACTCACAGTCTACCAGCTTCTAGCCTAGTACCTTAACCACTAGACCACACTATAGAGTACATTTATGATGTACACCCCCAGAGTCACTTGTTGAGATCGGCAACTATAGAAATCAGATCAGATCAGTTCAGTTCAAAGCAATACATACATACATACATACATACATACATACTTACATACAGGCAGTGGTGAAATCCAATTTTTTTTACTACTGGTTTTGTGGGCTTGGTGGGCGTGGCTTGGTGGGCATGGCAGGGGAAGGATACTGCAAAATCCCCATTCCCTCCCCACTCCACGGGAAGGATACTGCAAAATCCTCATTCCCTCCCCACTCCTGGGGGAAGGATATTGCAAAATCTCCATTCCCACCTCCAGGGGAAAGATACTGCACCCCCTTCCCTCCCCACTCCTGGGGGAAGGATATTGCAAAATCTCCATTCCCACCCCACTCTGGGGCCAGCCAGAGGTGGTATTTGCCGGTTCTCAAAACGCTCAAAATTTCCACTACCGGTTCTCCAGAACCTAGTCAGAACGTGCTGGATTTCACCCCTGCATACTGGTTTTCCGAAAGAGTCTACTCTAGGCAGAGATATATGCACTACTGGCCCAATACAGAGATTCACAGTTTCCTAGGTTCCCAAGCCTGTTTAGCACAATTACTTTATATTGTTAGACGTGCATCCCAATTTTCATGCCAGATTCCAAGACAATGTGTTTAGCACTCCAGCTTCTCATTCAGTCATCGTCAACCCTATGCTATGTTAGTTTGAAAGAGAGTGACCTACCCAAAGCTATTTACTCATTTCCCATGGTTGGACGTAAACACGGATCTCCCTATTCTAGTCCAACATCTTTACCACTTCATCACAATGGGCACTAATAGTAAATCCAGCACCCGCATAGTTTAAGGTATGTAAAACAACACCAAAGCAGTCTACAAATAATTTTCAACGTATATCTATAGCACACTCATCTTTAACAACTGTGAATAGTTATAGAGATAATAAGACAGGGATGTTTCTACGTTTATTTTAAGGTTATTGGGTGTATTGTTCTCCAAAAATGTTGTGTTTTTTCCCTTTGGAAATGTAACTTAGCGCTATTCTTTGGCTTCAAGTAATACCTTTAGGTGTTCATCTAAAATTCTAGCTGAGTACAGGAAAATCTTCCACGGTATGTCTCAGAGCATATTTTCACCCCGAGATAAAATTTTAAGTGATTCACGGAGAAGGTGGGGGGTTGGGGGAAATAAAACGCATCAGAAAATATCAGGAACTGCTTATCAATGTCTCAATAGGCCATCATTGCTTCTGAATATTTCTCTCTTTGCCTGTCCCGACTATTCACTTTGCAAAAGAAAAAAAAAAAAATCTATACCACACCCACTGGCGTCTGTTGGAGGAGGAGTAAACGGCAAGCAGTGATTGTGGCAATATGATCAAAGCCTTGCCCTTTGGGTGTGATGCAACTTTGATGTGTGTACAAATGAGGCCGGGCTTTGATGAGGCTGCCATTTTGCCTTTATTGACCCGCTCTGTGGATGCCAGTGATCCTATACCTACATTATATATACAGTAGTGTCTGCCCCTGAAATCAGTGAAGCTTCCCCACTGAGTTCGATAACATCTGGCATTTTCCATAGAGGAAGAAATTCAGCGTAATGTGGTTACCCGAATCCCATGATTTTAAAATTCTGACTTATTTTATTTTATTTTATTTTATTTTATTTTATTTTATTTTATTTTATTTTATTTTATTTTATTTTATTTTATTTTATTTTATTTTATTTTATTTTATTTTATTTTATTTTTTGTTACCGTATTTTTTCGGAGTATAAGACACATCTTTTTCCCCCCTAAAAGGGGGTGAAAATTTAGGTGCGTCTTAAACACTGAATGTAGCCCTGCCCATCTACTGGCCCCCACCCTTTGGCCTCTGCCTCCCAGCAGTTTACCTCCTTGCAGCAAGCAGCAAGAAGAAACAGCCCATTTCAGCTTCAGCACAGCCTAATTAGCACAAGTTGATTGTCCCTTGGATCGGCCTCCCGACTCTCAGCTGTTTCAGGCTGCAG